GGCGGTACATGGCGGCGGCGGGGCTGCGGGGCCGACCGAGGCGAGCTGGGCTGAGGCGAGGAGGAAGCGCCCGCTGCCCGCTGGCCTTTTAAGCCGCAGCTTCCTGCCCCGCGACTGTCCCCTCCCCTAGGCTGTTGTCGCCGGACGGGGAGGCCGGCCTTCGGGCGCCGCGCCGCCCAGGGCGCAGGGCCTCCGCCTCCGCCTCCGCCTAGCCAGGCCTCCCAGGCGGCGGCGCGTGTCGGGCCCGCGCGGGGGGGAGGGGGAGGTACCGCGCATGCGCACTGCCGGCGGATCCGCGAGCGTGCACGCCGGGCCCCGCAGGGCTCTCAGGTACGCGCCTCGCGAGAGGGCGGTCGGGGGAGGGGCGCAGGCCTCTGGGCTGGGGGTTCGGAGCCGAGGGGCGGGGAGCGTGGCGGCGGGCGGCCCGCCGTCTGGCCCCAGGCCCGGGCCTGTGCGTCACCGCCGCCGTTGCGCTCGCTGGTCCTCAGCGAGGACGGTGGTGGCGGCGGCGTGAGTGGGCCCGGAACCGAGTGTGTGAGGCCCGCGCCCAGCCGGAAGGCCAGGGCGAGCCTCTGCGCCTGCAGTCCCGCGTGGAGGTGCAGGGCGTCCCAGCCGCCAGTGCTTTGCCGTGGGGGCTGTGATGTCCAGTGCAGTCCAGCGCGGAGATGTTTCGGGAGCGCAGCGTTGTCTCCTGCGGTTTGCTGTCTGCGTCCCCTTTCCAGAGTATGGAAGACAGTCTTGCTCTGTAGTTCAGCTGGCCTCGAACTCAATCATCCCGCCTCGTCCTCCTTGGGTGCATGCGCCACCACAGCGGGTAGAATCACACCGTTGGAAAGAGCCTGAAGTAGGGGCTGGGAAAATAGCTCAGCGACCTGAGCGCCTGGCTGGCAAGCCGAAGGCCCGGAGTTCTGTCCCCCACAGTAAAACAAGGACGCTGTAGGAATGCCACAGTGACCCCAGGAACAGCTCGGGGGTGCTTGTTGGTTAAGAGGTTAAGGACTCGAGCGTTCATTTTCATACTTGGACAGATAGTCGAGGCTTAGCTATCCGAATCCACGTGGTAAGTTAGTGCCCACAAAACTGAGATCCACCCATCAATTTTTGACAGTTTTTGATATCACACAGTGAATTCGAAAAAAGATTTGTACTAATTCATGTTTTCAGTCTATAATGATTACATTCATTGTGCGCATGTGTAGGTACATGTGCACATAGCCCATCTTAACTTTTATTTATTTTATTTTATTTTGCCATTTGAGACAGGATCTTGGGAGCGGGGAGATAGCTCATTAAATAAGCACTTGCCTGGCAAGTACAAGGGCCTGAGTTCAATCCGCGGTTCTGCCAAAAGAGAGAGAGAGAGAGAGAGAGAGAGAGAGAGAGAGAGAGAGAGAGGATCTCAGTATGCTCTTCAGTTCCGCCCTTGAACTCACTTTGTAATGCAGGATAGCCTTCAGTGATCCTTAGCCTGAGCCTCCCAAGTGCTGGGATTATTGGCCTACTTCACCACACCCTGCTTAATTGTTCTTACTTCCCCTTCTGTTAGTCATCTATTAATGATTTTATTCATCTCTGAAAGAGAAAGTTAAAATGTAAGATGACCGTCTAGATTGGGTACTTTTAAGGGCCACTATCTCATTGTCCTCTTAAAACAAAAGTTACCTCTTACAGAGTAGGCTTACAATTGGCCTTATTTGCTAAATAAATGATAACTTTACTTAAGTTTGTGTAGAGTTTCACTATGAAAAAGAATCTCTGAACTGCGGCCTCAATTTGTCTAGACAGTCACAAGATGACCTTACTGGTCTTTTTTCATTTGGTAGCACTATAATTTATTTTCACTTTACATTGTTAAAAATTGAAACACACCTCCCACAGTTTCCAAATAATCAAATCCCTAAAGCCTGAGGTTTTACTGTCAAGGCCTTAGCCTCACTAGGCATACACAAATACTATTCTAATTGCATTTTTTGATAGGTTTTAAGGAAGGTAGTTTAAGAGCTTAGTTTTATCTCATTTATCTTTTTTTTGTGATAAGCTCAGTCTACAGAATGATAAATGTTTAACTTCTCATTTTCTAGGACTTGTTTGCCTGAATTGAAGAAAGTGGACTTGAAGAACTTTTGAAAGAGGTTAGGCATATAGCTGTGAAAATTATTTTTTATTGATCATGTCTTGTGTGTCTTGCAAAGCAGATTCTTTGGGGAAATTTTTCTTATAAAACAAAATCAAAATATTTCCTATATTTTACAATTATTTGTATAAAAATAAATTTAAAAAATAATAAAATTATTTGTAAGTTGTAAAAACAATTCAGATTGCAAAGATAGTTTCAAAAAGGTGAAGTTACCTAGCTCCACCTCCTCTATTCTCATTTAGTATATAGTTAGAATTCTTTCTTTTCCTTCTGAAGAAGTTTGAACTAGGTTCTCACTGTAACTCAGGCTGGTCTTAAAGCTGCGATCCTGCCTCAGCCTCTCCAGTACTGGGATTATGGTGTGTGCCACTACACGTGACTGTAATTCCCATTTATTTATTTATTTATTTATTTATTTATTTATTTATTTGGGGCAGTACTGAGGATTGAAACCTAAACTTTCACACTGAGTTATACACCCTTCAGCCCTTTTTATTTTATTTTGCTTAATTTATTTTGTCCTTTTGAGACAAGTTCTTGCTATACAGTTCAGGCTGGCCTTGAACTCACTTTGTAGCCTAGGCTGGTCTTGAACTTGTAGTGATCCTCCTGTCTCAGTCTCCTGACTGCCTGCTGGGATGGTAGGCATGTGCTATTACGCAGCCAGCGCTTTTTATTTTGAGAAAGGTTTTAAGTTATTAAATTGCCAGACAAGGCTCCAGTTTAAGCTCTTATCTCAGCCTCCCTGAGTACCAGGATTGCAGGTGTGTACCACCATGCCTGTTCTGTAATTTCCATTGCACAAGAAATGCAACAGTAATCTAAGGGATTGGGAGACTGAGGCAGGAGGATCTCTATGAGTTTAAGGCCAGCCAGGGCTATATAATGAGTTTCAGGCCAGTCTGAACCAAGTAGCAAGAATCTGTCTCAACAACGACAACGACAACAAAACAATAAAACATTAATTGGGCAGGTCATTAAATGAGGAATATGTAATAATAGCATAACCTCTGTCTCTAGATTCGTCTATTCTGGACATTTCATTTGAATGGAATTTAAGTGCTTCCTCTCCTGTAGCATATTTCCCAGGAGCATGGAGGCCTACCTACCTACTTACCTTCAGTGTGTGTCAGGACTTGGATTTTTTCTGTGGCTGAGTAGGACTGATCCTGGCGGGGCTGTCTCCACATTGTATTGTGTGTGGGTTTGCCTCACAGAGTTGCAGCCCAGCCCTGGACCTCTTTATTTATGGATGTTTGAATTCTTCTAAGTGTTAGCAGTGTCCCTGGTGTGACTTGGGCAGGTGTGGTTTCCTCTCAGCTGTATACTTAGGAGGAGAATTGCTGGGTCCTGTGGTGACTGTGACTCTGACTCTGTTGAACCTTTTGAGGATCCAGCAGGTCCTCTTCCATAGGGGCTGTGCTTTTTAAATTCCTAATAGCAATGTATGAGATTCTGGTTTCGCTTGTTAACCGGTTTTTTGTTTTTGTTTTTGCCGTGCTGGAGATTGAACCTTTTACAAGTGCTCTTTTTTTTTTTTAATTTTTTTTTT